TAAAAGCTAAATGTAACAAAGGCTAATTAAGGACCAAATGTAGCAAGGGGCTACCTAAAAGCTAAATGTAGCACAAGTTAAAATGAGCAAAAGACTAGTTAAAAGCTAAATGTAACAAAGACTAAATAAAAACTAACAGGAACAAAACGATAATTAAAGCTATTAAGAGCAAAACGCTAGGTCAAAGCTAAATGTAACAAAAGGCTAAATAAAACCTAACAAGAACAAAAGACTAATTAAATGTTAAAAAAGCAAAAGGCTATCTAGAAGCTAAAATAAGTAAAAGACTAACTAGAAGCTAAAATGAGCAAAACAAGTTAGCTAAATTCTAAAAGTATCAAAAAATTTGCTAAAATCTACACGTAAGAAAAGGCTAATTTCAAAACAGGAAAAAGTTGAATTAGAAGCTCAAATGAGCACAAGGTTAGCATAAAGCTAAATTTAACAGAGGTCAATCAAAAGCTAAAAGGAGCAAAAGGCTATATAGAAGCTAAAATAAGCTAAATGCTACCTAAAAACTAAATATAACAAAAGGCTAATTAAAAACTCAATGAAGCAGTTCCTAAATGTAGCACAAGCTGAAGGGAACAAATGGCTTGAAGCTAAAAAAAAAATGTACCAAAAGGCTGAATAAAAGCTCAAAGAAGCAAAAGGTTAAATAGAAACCAATAACTACCCAGAAACCAAGAAAGGTGTTTTAAAAGCTAAACACAGTAAAACGTTAGCTGTAAGCTGAAGGGGGAACTAAGAATGAATCTTAACTTCTACAGCAAGTCTGTGTCCCCGTTTCAGAATACGAACATCCTGCGTTGAAAAACCATGAAGATCTTTTGGTCAAAGCTTGAAACAACATTTTGCACAATCTTTTCCATATTTAATGTAATAGTAATCTAATCTAATCTTGAATCTATTGGCACTCAGAGTAGGCTATGTGTTGCAAACAGCTGTTAGCTACTACCACATCAAATCTTAACACAGTATCTTAATGGTATTAGAGGGCATGCATTGCAGTGGGTATCTAGTTATCTAGAAAAAAGGAAACAATTTGTTCAAATGAATGATGTAAAATCTGAATTCTGTAATATTACATGTGGAGTGCCTCAAGGCTCTATACTTGGACCTAAGCTATTTATTTTATATGTGAATGACCTGAAAAATGTGTCTGGATTTTTTAAATGTATTTTGTTTGCAGATGATACTACTTTTCTTTGTGTGGGTGAAAATGTTGTGCAAATGCTGAAGATGGCACAAACAGAATTTGTGAAAATACAAAATTGGTTTCAACTAAACAAATTATCTTTAAATGTAGATAAAACAAATTATATGATTTTTAGTAACAACAAGAAAGTGCTTGATACTCCATTTAGAGTCGATGGAATTGAAATTAATAGAGTCAATGAGGTGAAATTTCTGGGTGTCATCACTGATGAAAAACTAACATGGAGATCTCACGTAAAAAACTTAAGAACTAAAATAGCTAAATCGATTGCAGTAATGTACAAAGTTAGAGAGTTATTCAGTGATAAAGCAATGTTTCTATTGTATAATGCCATTATTGTTCCACATTTAATTTACTGTATTGAAGTCTGGGGTAAAGCATGTAAAACAATTACAAATCCAATTTTTATTTTACAGAAAAGAGCCATAAGAACTATTACCAGAAAAGATTATAACCATCCGTCAAATATATTGTTTCATCAGCTAAAGATATTAAAATTTTATGACTTGGTTGATTACAATATCTTACTGTTTATGTATGGGGCCAACAAAAACATACTACCTACTAACATTCAAGGGAAATTTGTTAAAAGAGAAAGTAATTATTATCTTAAGGGGATGGAGATGTTTGTGAAGCCGTGGTGTCGCACCAGTCTGAAGATGCGTTCCACTAGATCTCAGGGTATTAGATTGTGGAATGATCTGGAGGTTGATATTAAAAATGCCAAAACTATGTACATATTCAAGAGGATGATAAAAATTAGTTTAAAAAAAAATATTAAGTATAATGTGAGTTCATAAAAATTGTTTACAGTTGATCTTATATTTTAGCTAAGTTTTTATTTTATTATTTTTTATTTTTTTTATTAATTCATCTTGCTTTTGTATAGTAATTTTGTTTGGAATATATATTTGGGGACAAGGGGCAGATATTATAAGAACTCATTCTTCTTCTGCTGCCTTTCATTTTATTTCTGTGATTGTATATCTTTTTTCTTTTCTTTAAATTGTATTATATTTGTTGTTTGGATGAAATGAAATGAATAAATAAAATAAAACAAAAAACATAAAAAAAAAATAAAGTATCTGTAAAACTGACGGCAGCACAGCCAGCTTTGTGTTGGCTAATGCATGTTAGCTGTGGTGGCCATCTTGAATTGGACTGTACATTGGTTGTATACATCCAGTGATTATTTACTGAAAGTTTTATTGACATCCATCCGGTGATTAGTGAGATATTTTACTGTATGAGGAGGATCAGTCTCAGCTACTACCACACCAGATTTTAGACAAACAGCTGTACAAGTGACTGAGTTAAAGAGTTCTTGTGTTTTCAGGGTTGGCTGTGGCGGCCATCTTGAAGCGAGCCTGTGTTCCTGTGTTCATGTCTGCGTGTTTTATGTAAACTCAGGCGGGATCGGTCTGTTCTCCTCTTGGCCTCAGATCCGGGGCGTTCTCAGCTCTTAAACATGATGGCTTCAGGGCAAAACAAAGACAAGAACATTTGCATTTCACACACAAACAATACTACGTCTCTGACAGGATCGTTGGTTTACTGTTGTAAACAAGTGATGGAAGGAGAGACTTTTTTTAAAAGCTAAAGTTTCACTTTTTTTTTTTTTAATTAAAGTAAAAGTCCTGAATCTACCCTTCCTAATATCACTGACATGGAGCTGTAAAAATAAACTTATTTTATTTAAATTGCAAAGTGTGCTTTTTTCTTTTTTTTTTACTGGCACAGGTGTAAACAGGTAATTGTGGTATGGAAGGTTAAGACCTTTTAATGATTACAAGACAAAGTGTTGCCATTTATTTTTATCTGTTATATTTTTAACTCCGCTCTCTCCTGTTTAAGTTTATATTAAAATTAGTTTATACTCTAGTTAAAACAGTAATAGTTGCCATCTGCATGCAATTAGGCCCACAGAAACAATATTTACACGAGGTTCCTAAACATTAAAATTTAGTAGACACTTATTAAATGTTCAAATTTATCCAATTTATAACCTGATTTACTCATTTTTATGTTTATTTTTTTAAAGTCAATAGTTATTTTGCAGCCCTTCTTGAACTAGAAAGTGTCTCAAAATACTCACTAGTTGATTCAATGTTTTCAGGTTTATACAAACTTTATGAGAACAAAGCAGGATAGAAATAAACGATTGAGGCAACAAGAAAAAAGTATAAAATAGTCACTCACTATTCAGTCTATATGTTTTTACTTATTTTCCAAAGGTTCTTTTAATTAAGTTTAAATGATGTATTAAAATAAGTGGGCTTTAAATGATCAGGTCACATACTTTTTCTGGTGAATATTCAATAAAAGGCCCTCCATGCATGTGCAGGTCATGCAGCAGCAGCGTTGCAAAAGTAAAACAGCACATGATTGGTCAATATTTGACGTGTTGGCGTGCTGTATGAAAGAAGAAACGTGATTGGTCAGAATTTGTACTGCGTATCTTTGCTAGAGCCGTGGCTAGTGCCCCAGGCGAGCCCGTAGTGAGCCTTCAATGGAAGTCTCCTCTGATTGGTCAGTAGTAAAATGACGCACTGATTCTTGGAAGAGGAGGAGCCTCGTGACATTCTTTGGAAGCCGGTTGGGTTCAACCGGCATATCTGTATAAAACCGGGTAGGGGAGACATCGCGGTGTACTATTTATTTATTTATTGTAGTTTATTTAAAATTTGTCCGAACCGAACATGCTTGGACTGTGCCTGTACGTGCCTGTGTCCAACTCGGACCCGATCGAGGTGGAGTACTTCGAGTCCAACGGACTGCCGTCGGAGCTGAAGTCCGTCTTCAACAAGCTCAGCGTGTTCCTGCCGTCTCAGGAGTTTTCAACCTATCAAAAATGGCGACAAGTAAGAATAAAAACTTTCTCTTTAATACCAGAAACGATAATAATTGTCGTTTTTAGTGCAACTGCACACATCTTGTTCAATTTGAAACACAATTTGGATGTTTAATGCTTTCATTTTGGCGGCCGGAAGTAGGCCGCAGAGCTGAAAAAAAAAAAATCGTGACGTAACATTTTTAGCTGTCTTTTTAAAATTTCTTTTAAATATTGCACTCAATCATAGCTAATTTTTTCCTGATACTTAACGTGATTTGCAGTTTATTCTTTATTTTAGAATGCAGTATATTTTAGTTAAGATGAATTGTTGAGAATCGATCACAGAAAAATCCACCCTGATAAGGAATTTGTGCCACGCTGCTGCAGGGACAGGAAACCGGTTGAACTTACATTTTATTGTTAATTTTCAGTGCAATACTATCAAAAAAAGCATATTTTTTTGTAATTTTTCAGTCTGATTCTTTGTCTATAACCGTTCTGGTATGCAAACTGAGTTTTGTGCCGATAATCTGGCGTTTTAAGGCTGTTATTAGAGTATCTATTACTTGGTTATTGCATTAATTAAAAATACTTTTTTCCCCTTATTACTAAAATCAAGTATTGTGCGGGCAAAAGCTGTTTTTAAAAATGTCTTTAGCCTCTTAAACCAGCAACAACTCAATGATTTTGTGTCGCATTAAAACTTTTATAAAGTTGAATAAAGTTTAATCTGGTGCAAGTTTTAGTGTGGGACAATTGGGACATGTCTTTTTAGGGCTGCCCTGTCAAAAAGTTAACGTTGCGGTATGTGTTGTAAAAATAAACTCCATGCAAGACGTATAAGTTTAGCAGTCAGGTGGACTCCCACTCCTCTCTGACTGATGTCATCAAACTATTTGACAGTATTGTAACATCATTATCTGTTCATGGTTTCTTTTATATGCGTTTGTAGATTTCAGTTTTCTGAGTTGCAAAGCTCCAGACTTTGAGTCTAGGGTTTCCTCCATTATTGATAAATAACCTGCGTACACGCAAACCTCTTAAAACGGGTCGAGACACAGACGTTAACCCAGATTTATGCATTCGTGCTGGTGGTTTCTTGCAGAGGGTGGCAGAAATGTTCCTGCAGGGTATCTGTGACAGTCATGAGGCTGCAGGTCAAGTGTCCAGTCCAGGGACTTGGAGGACAGCCAGTTTTCACCGTCCTCGTTTTAACTCTGCAGGTTTAAATCCAGACCAGATTAAAACTGTTGGCAGGTCAGCCTTCACTTGAGATAAAGATAGAAGGGGCTCTTGTGTACGAATGCCGTCCCAGTCAAGTCAGGTGGGAAAAGTCAGGAGGACTGTGGCCTGGCAGACGGGCCCTGATTCGCTCTGGTGGTCATAAAATACGAGCTGAGGGATTCCTTAAAGTCTCGTGTTTCATAACTTATCATTGGCCTGACATGGAGGACATTTTGAACTGACTGTACTTGATTCATAAGCAAAAAGTATCCGCACACTCACGCCTGCAAGACATAAAGTACTTTAAAAACAAATTTTCTGCTTGAAACAGCAAAAAAAAAAAAAAAAAGTATAATAGATTCCATGAAGTTATATTTAAATACTAATGGATATATGTGTAAATGTGTTTTTTATTGGTACATATTTGACTTGACGTCTTAATGTTTTTTGCAGAAATCTTTCAAAAGAGAAGAAAAGGATGCAGACGGGCAGCTGGACTTTGAGGAGTTTGTTCATTATCTACAAGACTACGAGAAAGACCTGAAGCTGGTGATGAAGAGTCTCGACAAGAAGGATGCAGGTAAGAGTCAAGATGAGTTTTGTTTAATTTCATTATTGGTTCAGCTTTAACTTAAAGATTTTTATTTTTTCTCCTGAAGGTCGAGTTGATGCCAGAGAGTTCATTCAGTCTCTTCATGACCTCGGTGTTCACATTTCCCTACAGCACGCAGAGAAAGCCCTCAAAAGGTAACATTTTCTCACCCAGTTTGTCCAGTTTTATTTGCTTGTAGCTGTAAGGTAGTTGGACTCTAATATTTCACTTTATCGTTTCCTCCTCTTTAAAGTGCGGACAAGAATGGAATGATAACCATCAGCAGTAAAGACTGGAGCAAATACCAGGTGGTGGAGAAGACTGAAAACATTCCTGAGATCATCCTTTACTGGAAACACTCCACGGTGAGTTCCTTATTCTGCAGCGCTGAAGGTCAAAAGCTGAAATGTTGATTTAACAAATTCAAAAACTATCAGGTAATTTAGCTTCAGGTGTTGCGTAATTTTTCCAGACGTCCTATTTAGACTGAAAGCAAAAGGCACAGTCTGTTTCTCCTTCCTCTTGTCTGGAACAACCCGCCCACTTAAAGTCCTTGAAGGGTATCATTGAACTGAGCTGTGCGTCATTAATTAAGCTCCATTAGACTATGAAAAGAACATGGGTCTGTTCCGGAGGGATTATACTGGAAGGATTTTCTGATTTGTCGAGCTGTGATGTAAAACCAGGGCAGCAGTCAGTCAATCAGAACCGGTGCAGGCCTGCTGATGGTCTCCTGCGCGTGGCTGCTGATGGTATTTTCAGTGCAGGACAGCTTGCAGCCTTACAGACTCTGCTTTGGTGTAAATGCATCTCTGAACCGGAGCCGAGAACAGACCCGGGGTTGACCCTCGCTGGGGGCCAAGAACATTGTGAATCACTCGTGAAACCGAAGCTCCCGGCGCGTTTCAGTGTTTAAAAAGTCAAATGTTGGGTGAGGATAGTCATGAGTTCAGAGGAAGTTGTATAAGACTTAACGTGGGTTTTTTGTTTTTAACCAGTGAAGACTCACCCTGAACCCAAAAGGAACCCATTTTATCTCGTTTTGTCTGGTTTCTGTTTAGGTTTGATTCAGAAAAGAGTTTTAAGTCGTGCTTGCTTCCTGTTCCTGACCTTGGTCATCCAAGTGAACAATCCTCCTCAAAGCTGTTGTAACATTCCACAACAACCACTTAAAACTTAATGTGTGCAGCGTGTGACAACAAACCAGGGCTCTGTGACGGTCACTCAGGAGAATATGGCTCATATTTCCCCTTTACTCAACCGTTTCTGAGAAAATCTTCCTTTCTGGATGCGTTATCACAGATTTAAGTGACTTAAGAGAAAAGAGAAGTTGCTCAACCGTTTCTTTTCTCTAACCCCGAGGTCTTTGGTTGAAGATAAATTGATTAGTCTGCCAGAGGATTTAAGAAACTGGTTTATTGTCGTATAAACTGCAAAACCAGAGCCAAACTGGGCATTGAATTGCGTAGAAATGCGTTTTAATCATTACAGTTCAGTAAAAGCTGCTTGACATTTAAATTGTTTTCTTTTTTCAGATATTTGACATTGGTGAGAACCTGCTGGTGCCTGATGAGTTCACCACTGAGGAGAAGCAGACGGGGATGTGGTGGAGGCACCTGGTTGCCGGTGGAGGAGCCGGAGCCGTTTCCAGAACTTGCACGGCACCGCTGGACCGACTCAAAGTCACGATGCAGGTAAGGGGACCGAGCACTGAGAACAGTTTCTGTGAAACGGACCACGTGTCAGAAGTGTTGGGGAAAATCTTATCAACTCAACAAATGCAAGAACTTGATCCTAAAACACAATTCTCAAAATTAGAGCTGCAAATGATAAAAATTAACCTCCTTCAGGTTATCGTTAATCTTTCCCAACTGCAGGCAGGACAGTTATTCAGTGTAGATTATAAACTTCAAAAGAAGTGAGTTGCCTAACTTCTATAAACGAGTTAATGATCAACGAGTGAACGTAAGAGCCGAAGAGCAGAGTCCGTGTGCAGGTTGTCAGTCCGCCATCGACCAATGACGGCCCCCAAACTGTCGTCGCACCCTGCAGAGTATTTACTGTCACCAATGAGATTAAGGTCTCTCTGTGCCCAGTCGGGACCGGGTTTACGTCAGCCATCTGGTCTGACTGAACAGAGACTTTGATCGTATCGATAAGAAATTACGTTTTTCCCGACTCTTAAACAAACTGACCCAGTTCCCCTGGATTTTATGTCACAACGATCTTGACCTACCTGGCAAAAAAATCCTGATTCACTCCCCCAAATTCTACAAACTGTAAAATGAAAGCAAAAAAAAAAAAAAAGGGAATTGGGATTTAACTTTAATTTCTTTTTCTTTTACCCCTTCAGGTTTATGGAACCCGAACCAACAACATGTGCATCATGAGCGGACTCATGCAGATGATCAAAGAAGGAGGGACGAGGTCGCTGTGGCGAGGAAACGGAGTGAACATCATCAAAATCGCCCCAGAATCGGCCCTTAAATTCATGGCTTACGAGCAGGTACAGGAAGTGACGCGTAGTGTGAAAGATGGCCCCGCAGCGCTCCCGGTGGTATTAACTGATGCTCTGTTTCAGATCAAACGTCTAATCGGCAGCGAGCAGGAGACTCTAAGCATCTTGGAGCGATTTGTCGCTGGTTCCATGGCCGGAGTGATCGCCCAGAGCACCATCTACCCCATGGAGGTGATTACCTTTTTATTTAGGTACACTCTAAATCTGGGAGCTCAAATGTCCTGAGTAACACGTCTGAATCCGGCCCCAGGTTCTAAAAACCCGTCTTGCGCTGAGGATGAGCGGTCAGTACGCTGGCATCTCGGACTGCGCGAAGCAGATCTTCAGGAGAGAAGGACTCGGAGCGTTTTACAAAGGCTACGTCCCGAACATGCTGGGAATCATCCCGTATGCTGGCATCGATCTGGCGGTTTACGAGGTGAGCTGGAACTGTCGTACGGGGCGTTAAAAGAAAATGAAATCGCGTTTAATGTTGAAACAAACTAAAAAAAAAAAACAGAATCTAACTTGTAATGTTCCTCCTGACAGACGCTGAAGAACAACTACCTGCAGCAGTATGGCACCAACGGCACTGACCCTGGGGTGGTGGTGCTCCTGGCCTGCGGCACGGTGTCCAGCACCTGCGGTCAGCTTGCCAGCTACCCTCTGGCTCTGATCCGAACCCGCATGCAGGCTCAAGGTGAGCCCCCGTACCTGCGTTAACGTTCTCCAACCAGCAGCAGTCTGAGAACGGATTCTAAGTGTCTTGTTTCGTCTTCCAGCTGTAGCGGAGGGAAACCAGAAGGTTTCCATGACCGGACTCTTCAGGCAGATCCTGCAGACCGAAGGCCCCACGGGGCTCTACAGAGGCCTGGCCCCCAACTTCCTCAAAGTCATCCCCGCCGTCAGCATCAGCTACGTGGTGTACGAGCACCTGAAGACGCAGCTGGGAGTGACGTCGCGCTGAAACCGTCCCAACGTGATGAACTTTCTCCCAATGCTCTTTAGGAATCACCGGGAGCCCCCGGAGGTTCAAGTAGCCGTCCCATTCTGTGAATGTCAGCTGACGCAAGGCTGCGGAGGAGAATATGGACTCTGTGAGCTCAGGTTGTCGAGAAAACTGCTGCTATTTGTTTTCAGGAGGAGCTGTGTGAGTAGGAAGTGACTGGATGAAAATCGAGGACCAATGTTTTTGTTAAATGTCCGGGCGTTGTGACTCTCGCCCCTGACTTACACTTTAAAGAAGCCACGTAGCGCAATAAGCTTGATCTCAACTCGTCCTGCCGCTGGAAAAATTGTTTTTGCCCAAACGAGAAGTTTTTGCACAACAGTTTGACTTCTCTCCACCCCTGTCCCAAGTACCGGTAGTTTGCAGGGTTTTCTGGGTATTTATTTTCACCCGTCTTATATTTATTTTTCTTAAAATAAGTGATTTTCATGTGTCAAAAGCCGATTGTGTTGTTAAGATCCGGGCTGTGGGATTGTCGCCTTAACGTCTGTCTAACACTAAATGTGGTCTCATGTTAAAACGTTCAACTTAATGTTTTGTTGTTGTTTGCTCGTGCAGCATCAGATTGTTCTCAGTGTTTAAACGACCTTTCTTTAAAGGTCTTAACCTCAGGTTCAAGGGAAAACCGCTGAAGATCACGTGTGTGGGGAAAAGACGAGCAACGTAAACGCACTTTAATCAACGCGAGAAGGGCCTCGAAATGACTTGTCAATGCAGGATAGTATTTTTTTTTTTAGTGTTTTAATGGACCATTTTGATGCAAAATAAATGCACATTCAATAATAATCAGTTTGGTGTCTTCTTGAATTTTAATTTGGGTGTTTTCCTCTGCACATGTCAAGTGATCGCTGCGTGAGACCAAGAGGAAGTGCAAGTAAACATCTGATCCGTGTGAATTATTTTTTGTAAACTCAAATGGTTAAATGTTAAGTACACTAAAATCCTCTTTGATGCACACATCTAATCTGTTTAATAGTACTGATACTTTTTTTTTTTTTTTACCCTAAAATCGAATTTGACTACTTTTCAGAAACTCGGGACTCTGTGTGTGTGTGTGTGGATATATTGCACCTTTTTAAAACTTGCTGTATCATAGATATTAACAATTATTTTACATCCTGTTTTACTTTTTTTTTGCTCTACTCTTAAACACCCAAGACTTTCTTATGTTCTTTTTAAAAGTGGTCTAAATCAGAAGTTTTAGCCCTGAATGTGTTTAGAAGTTTGACTTTTTTTATTTAACTTTGACTGTTTAAAAAAAAAAAAAAACTGGTGTTTGAACCTGATCTTAAGAACATGGTAGTGTGAGGCATAGGTTGAAAAATAAATAGTGTTTTTTGTGACAAGATTCTGGTAAAGTGCCTGAACGTCCCATTTAAAGCTGGTTCATTGTACTTTGTTTTGGCTCAACGCTGTTTAGCCTTTTGAGTTTTGAAGGAATTTTTATTAAAGGTGGACTGAATAATTAATGTTTGCCCCTTTTTAACTTACCAGCTATCAACCCTGCCTGGTAATAACTACAACTACTACAATTATGGTTTAGATTTTTCAAACTCATAGTAAAGATGCACTAGTTCAACTTCATGTCTCCTCATGCTCCCTGAAAATGGAGAAATCTGCTAAAAAGAGAATAAAATAGAATGTCTGGAATTAGATCTTTATTTTGAGGAGCTACATTGACCAAAACATTTACTAGAAGCTTTCTCAAGTTTAAAGCCACCACTCTTTTTTTATTGTTTTTAAAAACTTGTATTTTTGCTTATTGCTGTGTACTTTTGTGAACAAAAAATAGACTTTTATAAAATACTCCAAACTGAGAATAAAGAGAAATACACAGTCATGAGAACCTCAAACTTTTCCTTTGTTTGTTTCTTCAGGCCATGTTTGTTTCATAAAAGCTTTCTGAAGCTTGTCCTAAACTTTTATTTAGTAAAGGAGTATTATATATAAAACCTCCTGAGGGATTTTGGTTTTAGACCATTTGTTTAGGATGACTACAATTTAAGTTTTACTTTTCATAAAATATAAATTTATAATTTTAACGACTAATTGCTCAAAAACAGTGTTTGTTTCTATGTTTATGAGATTCTATTAATTCAAAAATATATAAAAATGCACACCAAGCAAAAATTTGGGACTCAAGAGGATTAACTTGTCTGACCAAGGGGGCCAATGAGGGGCCCAGCAATGTTTTAACGGTGCCCATTGCCCCTCCTGACACCCTTGGTGATACACCTGCATTACAGTTGTTAAACTTTGAGCCAACAAAATGGGCTTTTCCAGGCAAAGACAATTTAAAGAAGGCTTAACATTAGCCCAGAGATGTAATTTTAAGAAGCTGGCCTCAACTACAGAGGCCGTTTGTTTATCAAAATCCAAGTCCTTAATGAAAGTCACTCACAAATTTTAAAATTTGGGTCTAAACTTGGAAGTCAAAGCACCAAGCTTTCAAGAAATATCCATTTATCCTTCTTTTATAAACGAGATGTTTTGGTTGAGCCACTGCTTAACGTTGGCGAGTCAGTCAAGAAAAGAAGGTTGAACGTCACTAAATCTAGGTTTGGTGGGTAAATACATAAATCTGTAAGTCGTCAGCATAACAGTGAAAAGAAAAATGGTGCGTGGTTATGACTGATCCAAGTGGCAGCATTCAAAGATTTAAAAAAAGAAGAGCAAATTATTGCAAAATAAGAAACTAAACTACTAGTTTGACCCCTTGGGACCATTTCATAAACTTTTTGAAAGTGTTCTGGGTTTTAAAACAGATTTTCTTTATTACATCCTGTTTCTCTAAACTGTCAGGCGAGTTGCTGTTTATCAGATGACGTAACGGGGAAAGAAATGTGTGTCCTGTTGTTGAGTCACAACATCTCAAACTAAGAATTCTGAGAATGCGTCTCCTTATTCTTTAAGCTAATCAGCTGTTTTCCCAGAAGTGTCAAGAATGTTTGGAAAACTGGTGCTGAGAAAAATAATGACCAGATTATACTTTATGAACCTCTAATAAATTAACCATTGTGACCTAAAGGGGAAAAAAAATATGTTTAGGGATATATTTGACATCTTACATGGAATTAGTTGCCTTTTTGTGTGCATACTACAACTTTAACCAATAAATAAGTTACTTGGAAATGATTTAAAAAAACACATCTGTTCATTTTATTTAAATAATGTCATTCAACAACAGAAGAGGTCAGACTACCCCCCAAAAACAAACAAACAAACAAACAAACAGACAAACAAAAAAAAAAAAAACAGTATTAATCTATTTTCATGCAGATCAATTTGTTTCATATGAATGCAGTCCAGCCCAGTTTTATAAATTCATAGTTCAGTTTACTTTCATTTAAATCCTGTTGGCTCATTTCATCGCATTACAGTGAAATTTAAGATTATGTACGCACTCAATTCAAATTTATTTAAGTGTAGTTCAAATAAATGAAAGTTTTATCAAACTACATAAAGTTCAGTTCATTCACAAAATATTAAAACATAACTTTAAGTTAGATATATTTTAACGAAATTCGGAGGTTTTTAAATAAGTAGTTTGTCCTACAGAGGCCACCGTACCAAAACACGGAAGTAATGAAATAAAGGGCTTTTTGCTAATATGTAGCTTATACATTTAGCTCTAAAATGATTATTATATCGGATTTATAACATGGTTTTAATATTTATTTGATTTTTTCTTACTTTAAGTGACGTTGCCGTGTTAGTAAGATGGTGCAGAACGTGTTCCGGTCGGGGTTTCTGGTCCGGAGCGCTCACACTTTGTTAACCTGGGTCGTAACTGTTATTCTGTTCCTGCACAACACCGGTGAGTTAAGTTGAAATGCCACGTTTTAGAGGAAATAATTAGATTTTTACATCTAAAGTTACAAATAGTTTTGCAGATAACAACTTACCGACGAGGAGCTGCTAAATTTTGATGCTTTATTTACAACAAATGACCTAAAATTTGAAACTGAACTCAGGTATGTCAACCCTGGCTGATACAAACCTGATTGGAATTACTCTGTTGATCCCAGATGGGAATTAAAACAGATACATTAATCAAATGACTTTACCACTTGCTCTCGCTGAGATCGGATGCTTCTCTCCCTCCCTCTCTGCTTTGCTGCTTTGTCTGTCTGTGAAACTGCTTGTGAGCCTCTCTTGCATTTCTTCTGAACCATAATTATGGACTTGTTTTGATCAGTTGGTCCCTCAACTCAATTTACAACATTTCTTCGAAGAGAAGACAGGCTTTAGGCGAGCCGATTTGCCCTGTTGGCACGCACGCAGCTGGATATTTCATCAACTTGATGATGTGTCTATCTCTGCTGCCATCTGTAGATTTTAAGGACGCATATTTAATTGGATTTACAATAACTGGTTCCTGCTTTTTGGATTCGGCTGGTTTTATCTACAATCAAGGAAGTCGTCAGCAGCAAATTTGGACCCGATCACGCTGCTTGCCTTTATGATGGCTTGGTTTGTGCCTCGAGTACCCAGACTCAAATGCTTTGGGCTGAATGGATCAGATCTCAGGGATTTTATTTTACATTTTACATTCCATCAGTGTGGTCATGTAATTTGGACATTTCGGAACCGAGTGGACCAACACAGACTCAAGGTAGATGTCATTAAGTTCTGTCTGTCTCCAAAACAACTGTGTGTTTATCTGAATTTGGCTCCCATGGCTGGCCTTGAAGGCCACCTTCTCTGAATTTGCCTGGAGAACATGTGATCTGATGCTCACCACCCCCTCCCTGAGGAATTTCTAACTGATAACCAGATGAAACCAGCTGAATAAACTAGTGTCATCATTTCAGGATTCTTGGATTCTCATAGACGTTATTCTTGGCCATTCCTCGACATCCCTCGAAAATGTTTATGGATTTCACCGGAGGACATTGACTGATTATTCCATCCTTATCAGAACTCTTACAGTGACCTCAAGAGCCTCTATGAACATTGCTGACCGCTCTCGTCTCCCCCTCTGCAGATTGTCTACGTAAATATGTGCTTGTTTGTGCGAGGTGTTTTTTTTATTAGAGGGTTTTTTTCCTCAGGCAGAAAAAAAAAAGTCTGATAGGATTATTTTTTCGCCTCCAACTCCGACATGTGTCCAGTTAACCACTGTTTTTGTCTGTCCAAACTGGTCTCACTTGTAAATGAGTCCTCGAGGCTCAGTGGGATTTACCTGTCTAAATAAAGGTTGAATGAAAAATTAAATTAAATACATTAAATTCATCAAATAAACTAGATGGCCTGTTATAGTCAGTTTCATCCATCTAGCTGTTGATTTTAAGTGAAGTTGAAGAATTTGAAGGTAGTCCTGCTTCTTCATAGATCTATCCACTTTGAGCAATGCACAAGCCCCGCAGCATGAGGCTACCACTACTGTGCTTCACAGGCAATGTGTTGATTTTAGGTTTGAAAGCCTCACCTTGACTCCTGAATACTTCTTGTCTTCGTGGCCCAACAGCCCATGGAAACCTTCAGCACAACTCATTATCTAATAGGTTATTTCACCAGCCCGTCTCTGTGCTCAAAATGTCTTCATTTTCTGAGCCAGAACTAAAGGGAGGTCAAGAATTTTATAAAAAATAAAATAATATTGAAAGGACAACTAAAAGGTAAACTGTCAGACTCTTCTTTTCAACACTGACCAGAGGAATAAAATTTGTGTTTTCAGATTTACGTAGATGTGAGGAGCGAGGAGAGCTGCTGCTGCCGGCTCTCTTCTTTCTGCTCGTCCTGCTGTCAGTGCTGTTATACTTCGCAGTCTCTTTAATGGATCCTGGATTTGTTCTCACGGACACTGTGGGGGTAAGCTCTGGTTATAAAAACCACTGAAGATAAACTTCAAAAACCTAAAATAAATTTGAATAAGGGAGATTTTTTTGGTATTAGAAACAAGTGCTCAGTGAAGTGTATTTTTTTAAATAAACAGATTCACATTCAGTGCCACAGTCCTTCAGGTGAAAGGTCAGAATTGTTGTGAGTATTTACAACTTTGTATGACCATCGTCTGTCTGTTACGTAGGGGGGTCAAGGTTCGGATGAAGAAATGGAGGTGATGATTTCTGAGTCATCGACCCCTCGGCTGCGGCGCTGTGGATACTGTCTGCTGAAGGTAACCAGCCACCAGCGTTTACCTCACAAAAATCTTGATCCAGTATTACACCGAGCCAAACAGAAATCTCTTTTTGCTTCCAGTCTTCTTGAAGGAAAGCTTTTATTTCTTTGTTGAGAATTGGCACTAAATAAACTGAATTTAATTTCTTTAGCTGAAAAGATGACACAGTTCGAGTGACAGAAAATAGGATTTTAGCACCGACAGCTGATTCCTAAAGAGCTGTTAGCTGAAAGCTCATGGTTCCAGTCCCTTTTGTGGGTTGTAAAACACCAAGTTGGGGGTCCAAAGAAGATCTCCAGAAAAAAAGTTGACTTTAAAATTATTGCTGATGTGTTACAATGAGATAGACAGTGGTCATAGATGGATGAAAAACAAAATATTGGGTGAAAGGCGTCTTTGTAAAATGGCTTTATCAACGTTTGTACACTTTACTAGCAAAGAGAGAATCAGGGGAGTGGTGGTGCAGAGGTTAGAGAAGGTGGATCTGTGATCGGAAGATTTACGGTTCAACTCCCGGTACAGACAACATCAAAATGTGGGTGGGATAGGTGAAGCACTCACACCTACCTCCACCCTTAATAGCCCCACTCTGGGCCCTTGAGCAAGGCCCTTAACCCCCACCATCTGCTCCCCTGGGGGCTCTGATGGCAGCTCTCTGCTCCACACAGAGGGCTGTGGTAGCTCGGTGTCTGTGGTTGTGTCAGGAAGGACATCCGGCGTAAAAATAATTGGCAAGTCTTCATGTGACTTAATTCATTGTGGCCACCCTTGAAGAAGGGAGCAGCCGAAAGAAGAAGACTAGTAAAGAGAGAATCCGCTAATTATTTTTTAGCTAAATGACAGCTGAAGTTTGCTGAAGAAGCTGAACGAGTTAAGTTAAAAAAGCAGAACACCAACGAAAAGTAGCAAAAGTCTAGCTAAAAGAATCACAAGGCTAGCAAATAATAGAAAAGGGCTAGCTAAATGTAGCAAAAGGCTAGCTAAACGAAGCACTAAGCTAACTAATAGTAGGTAAAGTTTAGCTAGAAGACAAAAGTAACAATAAGGTAGCTAAAAGTTGCAAAAAGCTAGATAAAAGTTTTGACAAGCTAGCTACAATATAAAACGTTTAGCTAGATGCTAAAAGTAGCAAAGTACTAGCTAAAAGCTGTCATAGCAAAAGGCTAGTTACAGTAAATGTAAGGGAGGACTAGCTAAAAGGTAAACATCACAAAAATAAAGGTCTTAAAGGCAATAAAAGTTTAACTAAAAATGGCAAAATGTTGCATTAAAAGTCTCAAAAGGTTAGCCAGAAGATAAAAGTAGCAAAAGGCTAGCTAAATGTATCAAAGCTAAAAGTAGCATAAGACAAAGACATAGCAGGCATCTTGAAGCAGATTTCAAACAATGTTTTTGAAGGAATTGCAATTTGTTAATAAAGTTAAATATTTTGAAAAGTATAAAAGTAAAAAAAAACAGTCAAAGTACTTATCTCCCAATTACCTTTTGATGTCTAAATTGCTAAAGTAGTACAAAGCTTTCAGAAGTAGTTGAGTAATGTTAAGTAATGTTTGCAGAACGATAAAAACAGGAAAATGGCAGAGTTGAAGCTGATCCAGCGTTCACGCAATGATTCAGGTCACTGGTTTTTGTGATTTTTATTTTGTGGGTTGAAAGCTGAAAAGATGGTCAACTCCTGCAGATGATGATCAGCTAAAGGATAAAACAGAAAACTAAATCTGTTTGAAAATGTTTTTCGTTATTCAAATTGACCCATCTGTTGCTTTGTGTGTGTCCCGACTCCCGAGCAGCAGCCAATGAGGGCGAAGCACTGCCAAGCGTGTAAACGCTGCGTACACCGCTTCGATCACCACTGTCCCTGGATCGAGAACTGCGTCGGGGAGAGGAACCACCGCTGGTTCGTGGTCTACCTGCTGGTGCAGCTGCTGGCCCTGCTGTGGGCTCTTCACATCGCTCTGTAAGTCCGCTGAGCTCCACCTCCTCTAAACTGTAAGATAAAAGTCCTTATCTGCTGTGAAAATGAATTTGTGTCCTCAGGCAGGAGTCAGAGAGCTACTATCAGCTGACTTTTAGCAGAATTAGGTAACCCATGACTTTTGGAGAGCACGTTGTGTAAGCAGGAGCTGTAACACGTTGCTCAAGTACACTTTGATATTTTCAGAGATCAGACATGAAGCTTTTCGGCTTAACGGAACTTATTGCTCCTATTATGGGACAACTTCACTCATACAGCATCTTTTAGCTGTCAGAATTTACGTTAAAGCTAAGCAATGCAGACGAGTTAGACGGTGAAATGAGTCTTGAACAAATTTCAATAAAACTTAGAAGGCAAGCTTTTGGAATCAACCAGATTTAAGATGGCCGCCACATCAAACTGGTTTTAAGAACAACAAAAATGGGTTTTTGCTCAAATTTACTGTTGACCTAAATTTTGGTGTGGTAGTAGCTGAGACTGACCAACTCACATTCTGAGAAGTTTGTTAAAAAAAAAAAACTTGTTTTAAATCAACTGTTAACAAAAAGTGCATGTTTTTATACATTTTTCAGGAAATAATCACTGGATTTACCTTTAACCTTCGGAGTAATCCAGTTGAAGATGGCTAGCCCAGCTGGTTGACAGCCAACACAAAATAGCTTACGCTCTAAAGCTAACGTTTGACGTGGAAGTAGCTGAGCGTCAACAACAACACATACTCGTACATTCATGTGGCCGTGCTCCAAATCTGAGGTCTTCATCACTTTTCAACATGGCGGGCGATATGCATTCCTTCAGCTCTTAATGTCCAGAAGCTCTCGCTGTAGGGACTTATTCCATGTGTCCAGAGTTAAACTGGGGGTTAGCGGGTTAAACTGGTCACATTATCCAGGGTTCAATCGACAGATTTCACTGATTGGGATGGCTCGTGCACGCTCAATAAGTCTGCATTTTTAAATGGGAAAAGCTAATTTATTTAAGGCTTTAAAAGTGATCTGTTCAGATTTTAAAATCAATACTAAATCTTCTTCCGGAGCCAGGCTGGAGATTTGATCATGACTCGCTCTGTTTAAAGGAGTACAGTTCGTTACGCTTGACAAAGGTGAGACAAGATAAAAGCATTTATGGTACAAACTGTTATAACTTTATTTAGGACAGCGGTTTTAGAAAAAGATGCCTTTTAGATCTTAAAGATTTGGACTTGCGATTCTTATGCAATGTTAATTTTTGGGGAAAAAATAGATTTTTTACAAAGTGAAGTGTTTAAAGTGTGAACATGAGAAATGGAGTTCATTAAAAACAGTGACAGCCCAGCATTTTTTTATATTGAGCTGAAAACGACAACAATGGAGCTTTTTATTTATGCCTGCAGCCATGAAAGATGGGTGATCTGTTTGGTAGCAAAATATTTCATGAACTCTCAGAAAGTAACCAGTGTACGTCTACAACTGATTAACTTTTGGAATCAACCCAATTTAAGATGGTCGCCACAGCTGATCAAACTTAAACCAAATGGCTACAGTTCAGTCAGTTGTACAAACATAAGGCAAAAATGTGATGCGGTAGTTGCTGAGAATCTGTCCCAACTCATACTTTGAGCACTACCTAACTGCAAGATCTTTAAAACGTTTGTAGCAACATGCTGTCCTTTAAGAAACGCTTTTGTCAAACGCTTGTAACTCTAGATAATAAACTAAACGCACCACAACAGAACCCTCAAATGGTAGAGAATATATTTTTTAAATTAATTTACCTGATAAAAATCCACGTTTATGCTTAGAAAAGTATACATCATCCCCTCTCAGTTAACACAGGCGTTCCTCAAGGAGCTTTTCTAGTTTCACTTCTATTTTCTGTTTGTATTTTGCAGTCCCACTATTGTTTTCCTGTTGATAGTTTCTTCTGTCTGTTTTATTCAAATGACTCCTGCCTACTTTATACTGTTTTAAATAATTCATCAAAACGTTCGATTGAGAAGTGTTAAGTTCATTAACAATATTTTTCCCAATAAATACATCTCTTCTCGTCAACTCTCGCAAATCTGCTTCAGCATACTTGCTCTATGTTTGTCTTCTTTTGCTCTTTTTAACTTCTGTGTTGGTGGTTAAGCTTATAGTTAGTTTTAATTTAAGCTTTTATGTAATTTTGTTCATTTTTGCTTTTAGTTACAGTTTAAGCTCATTTTAGTGGATATGCCGCTTGTTTTAACTTGGAACAATTCTCTCAAAAAAAGAACCGTAATCAAAGTGATTCGGTGCTCATCTTTCTCTCTACAGGTTTACAAATGAATTAGATAAAAACATCACACACTAATAAAGACCACACTTTTGATGATTTAATCCGTTGGTATAAAAAGATGCTTTTTTTTTCTCGTGTTGTTTCAGGTCAGGGTTTTCTCCGAGCGCTTCGTGGGATCTTTGGTTCAGAGCAAACGGGTTTCTTCTGGCGGCGCTGGGCGTCGTCGGGGTTTTCTCCGTGGTCGTGCTGCTTCTGCTGGGCTGCCACCTCTACCTGATCTCCATCAACTGCACCACCTGGGAGTTCATGTCCCGTCACAGGATCTCGTACCTGAAGAACTGCGGGGTGGAAGAGAACCCGTTCGACCGCGGCCTTTTCTGCAACCTGTGGGATTTCTTTTGTATTTGCAGGACGGTGATGTGGGAGCAGGTCTACCTGAAAAATGCTCCAAATTCTGTCTGAATTGAGACCAGAACCAGATAAAAACAGACCTTTTGTAAACTTTCAAAATGGTTTTGATTATTAGTTCTTCAAGTTTTCTTAAGCTCTTATAGATTTTTTATGAACTGCTGCCACTTTTTACTTTTTATCACCTGCCTCTGAAAGGTGAAGGCGGACAATAATGTGTTTGTTAGCAAACAATGTCATGAACCACTGGACGAAGTACTGGCTGTACCTCTACAACTGCCACACAGCCAGCTACATTTGAAAACATGCTACATAAATGTGTCAATAACTGTTGAAAGTGTAATAATGAACTCGTTCTCTTTTTATTGTAATGTTCTGTTTGTATTTATTGACAAGAGTACATTAAACATTTGATATGCATGTTGTTACAGAGAGCGTCTGCACAGACTGACATTCTGCTCAGGATGCTTCACATACATGTATAAATACAGTTTAGACACACGGATAACATGGAATATTCAGCTGCATAAAGTGCTACAACAGTTAAACCATCTGAGTGGCCTGCTACGGTTTTCTAATTTAGTTTTATTCAAAGCAGAAAAAGATCGGGGCTTTTTTTTTTTTCACGCTAAAAGAAAAAACCTGTTTCTTTAAAGATCATCTGCTAAATTAAACACAGCTATTTTACTGCTAATATGGCTATAATAGATATCTATGGCTTCTTTTAGAGTGCTAGCATTATAGGAATTCTAGTGCACAAGTTCACCACGTGACTTCTAGAGTTGTAGCACAAAGCGGACGATCAGGAGGCTGTGATGTACAAGAAAGTGACTCGACAAATACAAGAAATGTTGCATCTTGTTTTAGATGTTTGAAACCAGACATCGGGGCAACTTGTTTTGTAGTTGGAGGCAGTGAGCGAAGCCGGTCACAGTGATCCATAGAAACTACAGCACAGAACGTTCCTCTGAAAGATAATAAATAGTGTGACCTCAATTTCAAAAAAGTAGGTGCAGCGCGTAAAATGTAAATGAAAGCAAAATGCAATGATTTGGAAATCTCAAACATGTCAACAGAAAATTTGTAAGAACATCATCCCATCATCTACAGTTCATAATAAAAGATTTCCAAGGACGAGGCTGAAGGTCAATAAAACGGGTCTGGTTCTGCTCTGGACATCACTGCATCTATCTGTCGTCCACAAATGCTGCTTAAAGCTTTATCATACAACGAAGAAGCTGTATGTGAACACCATCCAGAACCGCTGCCGTCTTCTCTGGACCGGAGCTCATTTAAAATGGACCGAAGTGAAGTGGAGAACTGTTCTGGGGTCTACTGGTACAGGTACCAATCTGAAACCACGGACGCCGTGTTCTCAGTACCAAAGAGAAGGATCATCTAGCCTGTTAGTGCACAGTTCAGTTCCTCGGCGTACACATCTGGAAAAGCCCCATCAATGCAGAACAGCATCTACGGGTCTTAGAACAACATCTGCTCCCATCCAGCAAACTATCTAGAACCCTCTATCAGACCAGAATGGGACATTTCCATCCAAAACCTCCAGCATGTGGTCTCCTCAGGTCCTGGACATCTACAGACTGTTGTTGAAAGAAGGGCTGCTTCACAGAGGGAAACATGGACCTGGAATAAACTTTTTTGAGAAGCGATGCTGCCATCAAATTCAAAATATCTTTATTTCCCCTCAAATAACTCTACAATATACTAGTTTCAACACCTGATGTATTTATAATGTTCTGCTGTGAGTAAAATATAAGATCTGTAAATCACTCCATTCTATTTTTATCACAACTTACTCCACGTCCCAACTTTTACAGAAGTGGAGATGTATAATAAGCAAAGGCCACAAAGCAAGCGGGAGGCTTGAAAATGCTTTTAATCTCATCTGAGTCTATATGATTTAATTTGTTCTGAATTTTGAAACACTGACAAAACAACAATTATGATTAGACACAGACATTCAGTTAGAACTCCTAAGTTCGTAAACCAGAAACACGTCTTTACATTCTGTGGATTTAGGAAAAAGCATAGAGGAAGATTTTGATCCAGTCAGCTTTTAAGATGGTTTAGGAGTCCGCAACCAGCACGGGCAAAAGAGCTGTAAGTCATGGATTTAAACCGTGAAAATGATGGTTTTCTTTATGCCGCTCATCACACAGTCATGATTTGTGAGGCATTTCCTCTCAGCACGTCCATTAAATATGACATATTTGTAGCTTTTAGAGTCTAACGTAAGGCAGCTCAGTGATTTGTTGTGTCCAGGGATTCACTTCACCAACTGCTGGTGTATCAGGTGGAAATCCAAGTTCGTGCTCTCTCATCCTGGATGAGTGAGCACGAACTTTAATGTCTTGAACCACTTTGGCTGTCTGCCTGGGAGGAGTCAGCCCCAGAAGCCATCTTATCACCAGAAAACTGGCTGGTCCACTAAAGGAGTGTACTGCTTGGTGGGGAAAACAGTTTACTTGGGACTCCTCAGACTGATGAAGCCCTCTGGATAGAGGGTGAAACGTCTTTCCACAAAAAAGAAACTGTCCAGATGACCTGACTGACCATTATTGTATCAGGCGGAAAGTCAACAAAATAACATGTGCAGAAACCTTAAACTGACCCAGAACGTCTAATGATAATAAAAAAATGTGCCAAGTTGCTATTGGGATTCAATATTTAGTCTGTTCTGGGAAGAAACCGATGTGCAATTAAAAGTATCTAATCAAACGAAGCGTGTTCCAGCAGCTGGAGGAGGTGATTTTGTTTGGGATTAAAGTCTGACTCACAGCAGATGAGGAAGGCCAACAATTACGTCCTCAGATCAGCGAAAAACAAACAGTTCTGTTAATTAATCAACGACTGGTTGGTAATTGGGTGATAACTGAGAGCAGATGCGGTCAGCATTGTCCTGTTTGTAAATGATTTAGCTGCAGAAATAACGTGTTTTTTCTTTCTTTTCGTGACTACAAGTGTGGTCAAACAGAGATTTTCACTGATTAGGAGATAAAGTTCTGCTTGTTAACGTTGATCAATGCTGCTTTCTGCTCTGCGATGCTTACGGGTACTCTTTAAAGATTTGACTACTACTTTTCTTTTTCAATCAGTCAGTGAGGTCAAAACGGTGCAAGAATCAATAGCAAGAAGAGGTCACAAGAGTCCAGAACTGGGCTGATATTTTATGCTACTTCACTGTATTATTTATCAGTAAATGGAGCACAAAAACGTCAGAGGTTATACAATCAGTGTTTTTGGAAGATCTACTACGGAAGAAAACACTGATTTATTATTACTTGGCAACAGGATGGTTATTCATGCATATTTATAGTAGTTTACCCGTCCAGGTAGAGTGTATGGTCACACGGTGCTACTTTCTCCTCCTGGTCTTTTCAGCTCCTCTCACCCGTGCAAAGCACAGAAGTCAAAGTCTGAAAATGCCTCCTGCTGCTCTGCAGAGAGGACGAAGGGCTTGGAGGGGGGCGACAGGACGGGCTGGAGCTGAGTGAAGTCGCTGTCAAAGTTGCTGACGTCCGTGGACTCCTTGATGGACGGCAGGAACGGCGGCTTGAGTTTCTTCGCCATCAGAGCTTCCCAGTCGATGTCCTACGAGGATTCAGGAAGAGAAACTTTATTGGACTAAATCGCCAAAATGGTTTGTAACAAAAAAAACCCAAAACATCTATTGACAAAAACCAGACGTTGGAAACTTTTAAGAACTGTGATGTTTCTCAGGTTAGTTTGTATCTGATCTGCACAAAAACATTAAAATAAAACACGTCTTTGGTGCTTAAAGAAAATCCGGCACATTTATTTACCTCATAGAATTTTTCTCCTTTAACCTCGTTCGCGTCTTTCTCTCCAGCTCCGAGCCGTTTCAGGGGGTTCCTCTTCAGCAGCTAAAAACACAGAAGAGTTCCTGGTTTCTGCTGCAGCCACTTCTCCGACTGACCGAAGCGTCATTAATTATCTATTTATCTTTCCAGAATCATTTTCTTTAAATGCATATTCAAAACAAGAACAACTAAAGCCCCATCCAGCTTCCTAGTTGAGAATACGCTACACGTTTGAACATTTTAATGTTTCAAACACCATAATGCTGCAGCAAGGACCAAACAGTTTACGGTTGTACTCGTGGAACAAAGCAGGGAAGAGAGTTGCAACAAGCGCTACATGTGAGAAAAGGATGAACGAGAGTAGATTGTGGGAGAAGCTGGATAATGTGTAGATGACAGGAAGGAGACCTCATGGGATTATTAATTTTCTATAAATGCAGTTGAGACCCCATGAGGACTCTTTACCTGAGAGACTCTGGGAGTTCATCGTAATTCAGAAACCGAGGCTGTTGAGTTTGATGACATTGTGTGAAACTAAAATAAATTTTATCCTCTGACAGGAAGTAGGAGGAAAAACAGAACGCAGTTTTACAGAGATGTAGACCTGGGTGTCATCGGCATAAAGGCGGAATTAAATATTCCGTCCTAAAAAATTGAACCAAGAGAAAAAAATAAAAAGGAATTAGGAGCATGACTGACAACTGTGGAGGGCTGTGATTTTAATAATAATAATAATAATAATAATAATAATAATAAAATACGTTATTTGTATAGCACTTTTCTAAATACTCAAAAACGATTAACCATTTTACTTGGTTAAACCTTTTTTTTTTATCTTTAAAGACGGGGTTATTTTACCTCGACAGCCAGTATTACCAGTGGGATCTCATCTATAGAGGTGCGCGTCTACTTAATTATTTATAGACAAACTCAACTGGGCATAAGTGGACTTAATTCAAATTGTTTAAGAATCACAAGGAGAACTGACAGAAATGGAAATATATTAAAAAAATGAACCTTCAAACTGACTTTTGCTTTATTATTGCGCATGCCTGCCTGCTAATTCAATTCATAAATACTTTATTAATCCCAAAGGGAAATTAAATGTTGTTGTAACTTATTATTCTTGTTTCATTAAGCGATGTTATAGATACTGATGGCTGTAGGCAGGAAGGAACTCTTGTAAAGGTCCATGCCACAGTAGATCCCAAGAAACTGCCCGTACGACCCGTCTACCCAGACTCGGCTGGCCTCTCGGTTCCTCTGGGCTACAGGACCACCCGAATGCTGGGCAGAACTCCTCCCAGAGTGATGGTCACTCCTCTCAGCAGCCTGCTGAGCTCCTCGTCGCTGTGGACAGCTGGTGTCTGGTGGATGCAGGTGCCAGGGGATGATCCCATCCTTCTGCTGTCACGAGCCACGTTTCCTGCCATTTCCAGAATCTCAGTGGTCAGGCACTTGAGCACAGCCGGCAGGTAGATGAGAATGCATCCATGGCACCTCCTTTTCAACTCATTTGAGATTTGGGGCTGTAGTTGAGATATTATTTCGGCTTTTGAGATGTTAATCAGCTGCTCCCGGTTATTAAAAAAAACACCTTGCTGTCATGGTTACGCATCATAACAAATGTCCAAAAGTAAAAAAAAAAAGATTCAGTAAAAATCCTTCCAGCTGCACAGCATCCGATACTGGAGGAAACAACCATCCAAAAAAATGTGATTTACACCCAGCAAAAGAGGAATTAAGGTTTCCAGAAGCAAAATCTCAGAATGAAAGTAACAAGAGCTGCTCCAACATGAAGCCACACCGAGCAGCACAATTCTGATGCTGATAAAATGATAACATTTGAACTGAATCCATTTTAGGATGATGACGAAGCTTAATACACCTGATATAGTTATTTAATTTAAATAGTGTGATAGACGTAGCATAACATTTCACTAAATTTGTGAGATGATGTCCCGTCACCTTCTGCATGATGGAGACAGCATCAAGAGGAAGATTTGTCGGATACTGCACGTCATCGTTGACGATGCTGTCAAACACCTCCTCCTCATCTTCACCGGGAAACGGCGACTAGCAGGAAGCAGAGAGATGTAGAGTTGGCTTCTAAGCGCCAGTAAATTATACACTTCGGTTAAGGCTTGAAGTTGTTTAAACAACCTCTCCGACGAGCATCTCATAGATGAGGACTCCCAACCCCCACCAGTCCACGGCTCGGGTGTAGTTGTCGTCTGTCAGGACCTCCGGGGCCAGAAACTCTGGGGTCCCACAGAAAGTCGAGGTCCGATCTCCGTGACCCATCCCTGCCGAGACGAGTAACTTTACCAGTTTTAGGTAAAACATCCACACATGGACCAGGATTATTTAAACTTTTCTCATTTAGGTAATGAGGGTGGAAAACAACAACAAGCCACAAAAACCTGAACAAATCTGAGCCAAACCCCGGTTTTATTAGATATCTTACCTTCTTTACAAAGTCCAAAGTCCGTTATTTTCACGAAGCCATCAGCATCCATCAGTAGATTGTCCAGCTTCAGATCTCTGTAGGAAACAGAGCGTGCACACTGAAAAGTTTTCTTTTGAGTTAGCGTGACGTCACTTTGGTCAGTCTGACGTACCGATAGATGATTTTATTCAGATGCAGAAACTCTAAACCCAGCAGGACGCACGCTGAATAAAACCTGTGACAAGCAACGGCACTATTTATGAAACGGAAAATTAAAAAGTAAAATCAAACCAACACAAAAGTGCAAGCGCACACCTGGTCTGAGCCTCGGAGAAGACGTCGCTGTGGATGTGGATCATCAGGTCTCCTCCTGGTAAGTACTCCATGACGAAGCAGACGTGGTCGCTGGTCTGGAAGCAGCCGTGGAGGTTGACGAGGAACGGATGTCTGGAGGCGTTGATCATCTCAAAGATCCTCTTCTCACTCATAAGGCTGCAGAAAAACCAGCACAGGAAGCTCTAAACATGAACATCTAGGACGCTTTTCTCTTGAATAAACTAATTTCTTGACAGGTTTTTATTTAATTACTTTTATATTGTGCATAATTATGAGCTGGCATACATCATAAAGCTCTGAATGCTGTTTTTATATTTCTGTATGTTTGTTGCAATCAAACTACTTCTGAATACTTTGTTATAATTCAAAACATTTAGCACGGATGGGAACAGTGTGCTACAGCTTTTGGTTCCTGGAACTTATTTAATTTTCAAAAATAATTAACTTCATCTAAACTAAAATTAATTACAGAAAAGAGATTATTTCCTCAAAAGCATTGTTTTAAATCTGCTTCGGCAAACTGTCTCTCTCTCTTGTTAAGCTACTTTTAGCTACCAATCTGCTGTTTTTAACAACAGTTTTGCTATAATTAACTATTTTAAATATTTTAGCATCCGTTTTAATAATTTTTTCTCCTCCGTTGGTACTTTTAGCGTCAGTATTGCCAATTTTAGCTTTAGTATGTTTTATTACATGCAGTTACAGTTTAGCTTATTTTAGCTTTTAGCTGCAGTAACATTACTTTCAGCTTTTAGCTGCTGTTTGTTATTTTAGCTGTGGTTCTGCTTCTTTTAGCATAACTACAGTTTTGCTCATTTTAGTTTTGGTATCTGTTTTAATACGTGCAGCTGGTGTTTTGCCAATTTACCTTTTAGCTAAAGTTGAGCTATTTTAGCTGCTGTTTTAATCATTTTTGCTACTTTGAACTTAATTTTAGCATCTGTTTTGCATATTTTAGCGTTGTCATTTTTAATATATGTAGCTAATGTTTTTCTAATTTTAGATTTTAGTCAACTACTCTGCTTTTAGCTTCGATTTTGCTACTTTTCGTTTTTAGCTAAAGGCGTTTGTTATTTTAGTTAAAGCTTAGAAAATTTAAACATTAGAATCTGTTTATTATTGTAGCTACAAGCAAGTTAATTTTAGCTACTATAGTGCTAATTTTAGCATCAGTTTTGCAGATTTTAGTTTTTTACTTTCTGTTTGCTACTTTTACCTTTTAGTGACGTTTCTGCTTTATTTTACTTTTTAGCTTATGTTCTGCTCCTTTTAGCTTTGGTTCTCTTTCTATTAGCTTTAAGAAAGTTTCAGCTTCTTCTGCAAATTTCAGCTGTCATTCAGCACTCAGGGCTCTCTTGGTTCACCTGTACTTTGTTCATGCGTGTGACTAAACGAACTCTAGACCTGCACACACCTGTCCACCTCATCACGAGTCACAATGTCTCTTTTCTTCAAGGCTTTAATGGCGTACAGTCGTCCTGTCTTCTTAAACTCTGCTAGAAGCACCTGAAATAAAAATAAATAAATAAACAAACAGACACGATCAAATAAGAGCAAACAGGTAAAAGCTTTGGACTAGTTTAAGAACAAACCTGTTACCTTTCCAAAGTGTCCTCGCCCCAGAACTGAAACAAGTTTGAAATCATCCACCTGCATCCTTGAGAGGGAAAAAACAAAACAAAACAAAAAAATATATATATTTTTTGCATTTTAAACATTTTAAAATCAACATCTGTGCACATCTGAGCATGTGTTTGTGTGTACTTTAGGGCGGACACAGGCTGATCCTCACATTGTTTCCCAGAGTTTAGCGATACCTGCAGACAAACAAGTAAAAACAACAAATAAAAACACTTTAAAGTAACAATCACAGTGACAGAATCGCTGCTTTACAAAGCCTAAAGTCAGAGCACAGCAGTTTGACAAATATCTAATATTTTAGAGTCATTTTCACTTTGATTCTCAGTTAAAGCTTAAATAAAATGTACTGGTTGACACAAGGATATGACCTTTGGTTTCAGAAATGGAAACAGAAAAGTTAAATGAAAAAATAAATTGGAAGCAACTTGACAAAAATGCCGGTAGCTCTCTTTATGTTTATCAACTACCGGTTTTGATTACTGACATGTTTGATAAGTTTTTTGTAAAAAAAAAAAAAAAAAAAACGTCATAAACCTTTTACTTCATCACTTCTGCGGGATTGAGAAAGACTAAAAGAAAACAATTTGAGCGGTCTAAGGTTTGATTTTTATTCTGAACGACTACTTTTGCCTTAGATTAGAGTATTAACGAGGCTCGCGTTGTATCAAAAGGTTTTAAATAACCATAATCAGACGTTAAAAAGGTAATTATTTATCCTTTATATCGGGTTAATAAACACTCGTTTACCAGATTTTCTGGCAGCGCAGGCACAGATGAATTTTGTAGTTCTGTAGTGATGAAGGTAGAGGTTTCTTCTTCCTGGCTGATGCTGATGGGAGGTAGCTGATCCTCAGCGATGCTGAGTCTGATTACTGGAGTTTTGCTGCTTTAGTGGAAGAAAAAGAAAAATGTAACTTTAAATAAACACGGCAATGTTTAAAATCAACACATATAAAAGTAGCAGCGCTCGTTCTGTTGTATAAGTAATGACATGAGGTCCTGTAAGAGCGATACGTTTTTTCTGCTTTGTCGAGTTAAAATCAGTCCGTCTAAACAAAAAGGTCACGATAAATTTATTGTTGTGAGATCAATGAGAAAAGAAACACTTTCTACTAACTCCTCTAATATTTACTTTTTTTTATAAGTTAAATGTTGTTTTTATAAAGTTATGTAAAATAGTTTTAATAGAAACTCTATGGGGGGGGTTTTAAAACGCTGCATCGCCTGCAGAAACACTTCAATGAAATCACGTTTGTGTTTTTCACAGTCCGAAGACTCTTTACGTTTGTTTCGGTAAAAGAGTTGGACTAAAACGAGCAGCCGACGTTTAAAGATAAACTCTTAGAAAGACCCGTTTCCAAAATCCCCCCACAAAGACGAGGAAGTTTAACAGTTTTCGTTTACAGTCCGGAAGTTTCTGACCTGGGCAGTGAAGCGGCGGTTTGAGGCTTCTCCTCAGCGGGATGCGAGGCGCTGCTGGAGATCAGGTCAGAGGTCGTGGAAAGATGTGAGCTGAAGGTGGTGAAGGAGCTGTAGCGAGGAAGGATGCTCATCATCAGGTGACCCCACGTGGCAAAGTTCATGTTCATCTGAGCCGCACGGAGAAAATTCTTTCCTACGGAAGAACGCGGCAACAGAAACAAAAGGTAGGGAGTTTAAAAACGAATAAACGCGTCGGTGCTGCAGGGGTGTTTGTCCGCACCTCTCTCTTTAGTGAAAATACATCGCTGACGTCTCAGTTTGGGTTGTCTCTCCACCACCGTGTCCACGAATCGAAGCTGAGAAATCCAAAAGAAATAGACGATAAGTATTACAATTTTTTAAAAGCATTTTTACAAATCTGTAAACTCAATACGCAGATTCAAAAATATGCAAGGAACAAAACAAAGAACCGTACATATTTAAAAGTAAAAAAAGTCTAAAAATCTCTTGCATCGCTCGTGAAGCATTAAGTACGCAGTTTTTCCAACATGCTATTTAGTTTAAGATCTCGAGTTCCTCCAGAAGCATCGTGTTTGTAAATGCTGCTTCAGTGCACCAACTGTTTTGTTTTCCTAAGATACTTTTAAAACTTTGAGCTTCGTGCCAAAGTTTTGTTACTTTTATCAAACAGTTTTTTTTATACTTTGTTAGCATTTGTTTACTTTTAGCTAGTCCCTTGGTGTTTTTAGCTTTTAGCTCAGATTTTACTACTTTAACTTCTAATTAGCTTTTTGATATTTTTTCTTGTTTTGTTGCTGCTTTTAGCTTCAAGCTAGCTTTTAGGCAGTTTTGACAAACCTTTTGCTACTTTTAGCTTTTAGCTGGCATTTGCTACTTTTACCTTATCACTAGCCTTTTCATACATTTACCAGATTTTTTGCTTCTTTTAGCTTTTAGCTGGCATTT